TAGTATGTTAATATCTATCTACATATGTCATTCTGCATACGTGTCTCAGTCTTTTCATTAACTATCTAAGTCTGTTAATAATATCTATCTTATTATATAGCGTCTGTTAATATCTATCTATCTATCTATCTATCTATCTATCTATCTATCTATCTATCTATCTATCGCGGCTTTTTCATATCTATGTAGTTAAATTTGGTATAGTTAAATACTTTTGCGTGTGCTTTGCATGTCTCCTCACGCAAAGGGGCGCACACACACAGTCTCTCTCCCTCCCCACACACACTCTCTCTCTCTCTCTCACACACACGCACACACACAAGCATACACACACACACACATACACACACATATATATATATATATATTGGAGGGGTGCTGAATTTATATTTATATATATATATATATATAGTTGGATTTATATATATATATATATATTGTCGAATTTATATATATAGTTGGAAAGAGAATCAGCTCAGAAAGTTTCAATTCAGGCTGATGTGCGTATACTTGGCACCAATGACCTTTGGACATGGCATGAATCAACTTCCCTGCGGGTTTTCTCTCATCGCCACTCGTCATGACAAAACAATAACTTGTCACTGGCATTTCACGATGGCACTTGAGCACACACCCTCTCCTATAAGCACCTCACCTGCCTAGACTGCAGTAAAATTATATAGATGTGCACCCATGACTAACCCCATTGTCAAGGTAGATTCACTTTAATATGTACTTGTTAATTACTCATCTAATAATCTCTCGCCCTGTCTGCACTCTCCAATAAAATAAAAAATTATCCGTCATAGGAAATTAGAAAGGTAGTGGTGCTGACATCACTTGATCACGAACATAGTTATCACTAATAAGCCCTGAGATGAGGTATTATGTACACTATTTACATTATTCGACATTCCAACCACCTGAAGAAGGCCGGAGCGTACAACGGCCGAAACGTTGTAATAAATATGGCAACAAAGATGAGGACTATAGTCCGAATAAATGTAAATAGTGTACATAATACCTAATCTCAGAAATATAGACTGTCACCTTGAAATTTCTCTCGTTGGGAAGTGATGCAATTCGTGAGAGATTTCACTTTAGCAACGTCAAGACTGGTCACTACCAAGATGGGTGACCGCTTGGGAATACCAGGTGCTGGAAGCTTGGATGTGCGGGTGGTGTATCGGAATTGCTAATCAGACAGCTGAATTCACGTTGGGTTCGTTACATTCAATTACGTAAATACCTTTGGAAAAAGTATGAATAAACCACTTCTCCCCACCAGCTATGGGTTAATTAGAAAGACTTCTATCATTAAAATTATTACTATCTTAAAAAATAAAATATAATAAAATTATGTAGAAAATATTTAGATAAAGGGTTCATTTCGACATTCCAGCCACCTGAAGAAGACCGGAGCGTACAACGGTTGAAACGTTGTAATAAATATGGCGACAAAGGTGAATACGATAGTCCGAATAATGTAAATAGTGTGTTAGTAAGCCAATTTTGTTTTCTTAGTAAAATGTGATTAATGATTAAGGTGTGAAAATCATTTTGGGAGACGCCAGCTACTTTGAGAAAAAGAGTTGGAAAACAATGCAACCGGGAAAAACAAAAACAAAAAAACAAACAAACAAAAAACAAACAAAACCCCAAAAAACAAAAAAAACCCAAAACCAAAAACAAAAAAAAAACAAAAAAAACGACTATTACATCATTTCAATCTTTCCTTTTTTCTAAATTCAACCTCTTGTTCCTGTCATCTCTCTACAATATTTATGAAACTGTTCGGTAACTGAAGTAACAGCTTGTTTGTCACCGGCAATAGTGTTCGATCCCGGGTAAAAGCTAATGTACGGAATGCTGATTTTCATCGCAAGTAAGCGAATCCTCCAGATTTAATATTGTCGAAAGTAAGTCTCAGCTATACACGGGCTCGGGTCGGATTAAGCTAAGGTTAATATCCATATAACTGGGTGCCTCTGTTTGCGGTCATGGTTAGCGGACCTCGATTAAGAAATTAGTTCGATCCTCACTGAGTAACTCACATCTTTGACCTTGTGCCATATTGAACTCTCTCTCTCTCATATATATATATATATATATAATAAAAAGGCTCAAATACTAACATGGAATATTAGTGTTTGAGCCTTTTTATTATATTCTTACTCTGTCCTGGACATTGAGTTCTACCTGGATTCTATCCTCTTGGAAATTATATATATATATATATATATATATATATATATATATGTGTATGTGTGTGTGTGTGTATTGACCACTAATATTATCTATCTATCTATCTATCTATCTATCTATCTATCTATCTATCTATCTTGAAAAGAACACCTGTAGTACATTTGTAAGGTTAATGCAAAAAAATATAACTTACGGCCACATTATGTTGAAACACCGGTTCCCATACGAAGTTAAGCAGCATCAAGCCTCGTCAGCACCTAGATGGGTGACCGCTTGGGAATACCAGGTGCTGTAAGGTTGGATGTGCGGGTGGTGAAATCGATAATGATATGGAAATGTTGATCGGGGAACCAAGTTCCAATTCCCGTTGGGTTCGTTAAATTCACTTACGCGCAAATACCCCTGGGAGAGGTATGACCGCACCGCTTCTGCCTTCAGCTATGGGTCAATTAGTAAGACAACCTATCACTAAATCATTACTATCTTAAAGAAAAATAAATTTCTTATAATCTAAAAAGATATTATCTGACTTTAAATAACCTTTAATGGGTTGACAAGCAGTAGAAAAACGAATAAAAATATATGTAACATTTTTTTTTAAATCCTTCTGATTTTTAAAATTTTTGTCTAATGTATGCTTGTTAAAAGTTAAAATGTCATGACCAGTGGGATTATATAATTTAAACAGTCGAAAAAATGAGAGACCGAAAATAAAAGGAACATGAAGATAGATTAAAGAAAGACAGAAGAACAAATAACGCGCGTGCACACACATATATATATATATATATATATATATATATATATATATATATATATATATATATATATATATATTGTTTTTTTGTTTATATGCATAAGTGTTTGCTGACATTAAGAAATATATTTGAATATAGGAAAGCAGAAGTTAATATATATATATATATATATATATATATATATATATGCACACAAATACATAATTCAATATATCTTAAGCCAGCAACACGAATGCCCTTTTTGTCGGGAAGCTAAGAATCACAGCGGCATGTGCCTTTGTTGCAGGTGAGTGCATAAATACGCCGATGCAGGCGGATGTATGTGTTTGTATGTGACAATGCGTTCGAGTACGGGCATGTTAGTGTACCTTTGAGGGTCGGCGATGGGGCGATCATGCACGCAGCCGCGACCACCGTAACAGCAACGACAATAATTTTTCTTTTTTTTTTTTTTTCCCAAGCAAAGTGCAACATGCAAATAGGCAAGTGTTTACTTTACCTTGAAAGGAGACGTTAGCTGGGCAGCACATCTGCTCATTCAACTTTAGATACCAACGCGACTCTGCGTAGCAGAAAGACCTGTAGCAGTAGCAAAAGTACGGATAGCTGTTGTTAAATCGCGTAGCAGCCAAAGCACAGCTGAGAATGAGATATATAAACAATAGTGTTGTTTGCGGTGGAAGTGATAGTATAATTAGCTTCAAGAGATCTCGCCATTAACGAAAAAAAAAAGAAGCATATTATCGACTCCCTTTTCGTGGGCTTCTGCTTCTTTGTAGCTTTCGTTTTCAGCGCTGAAGAAGCAATAACACTGATTAGGTAATTGTAATATTGATGGGTAATACAACGATACAGGACCTTGTTTTGCACGTGAACTAATTATAGTTGTATTAGAGTAGTCTTAGCAGCTATACTGCATTGCATAAAACGTGTAGTGGATGCCGTTGTAGTAATCCTTTTAGAACGATAACCGTCATTGTTCGGGCTCCAGTTGTCTCTATAAAGAATACTTTTCTATGTTTGTAGTAGTTTCTGTATCAGAGCTCCGGTGGCCTGGCTTCTTGCAACAATAACCGTAGTACTACTATTTTTTTTTTTTACTATGATCAAAATATTAGTCATATTATTAGTTGTTCTATTGTAGCAATAGCAGCGATTTCAGCTTCCTGACAATCATAATAAACACTTAACAAACACTAAACAGAATATATATATATATGTAAGTATATATATAAAGGTGAGAAGGTGGCTGATAGATTGAAGCACATCGTGGGTGTGATAACAACCATATCACGTTGCCTTGTTTGTTGATATGTGCAAAAAAGAAAAAAGAAAAAAAGAAGCTTTGTTTAATATGGCACAAGGCCGAGAGGAGGTACAGTTCTTCGAAGTACGGAGAACATGCATGCTTTGAGAATCTGCATTTGTAAACCTTTGCTGTTACCCTAGCACGAAACACTGGTACTTTGGAGGAAAACGCAATCACCCCACGCACGAGACATATTATTACATAAACATACTTTGTTTATTTTTCTTCTAATTTAAGTTCCGCTTTAGTAATGTGCATCACCGATCTGGCGCTGGAGATGGGTCCTAAATGGCCAGGAGACGGTAATTTTACGATAACACTATGAGCTAATCTTTTGTTAATGAGAAGATGTTTTTTTTTTTTATCACGGGGTGGGGGCGGGGTGGTGTGAAACGGTTTCCATTCCTATTTGCAACCCTCTTTAGTCGACTACGGTCTCCAGCTTCGTAGAAATATTTTTCCAGTTTTTTTGTTGTTGTTGTTGCGCGACGTCATTCCCGCGTTTTGTGCAAGTGCAGAAATAAAATCGAGTTACTATGCGGGGTCAGGGTCAATTCGCTTCATGCCTTTTGCAAGAGAAACTGGGCGAAGTAAAATGAGTAATTGACATAAAGCGATTGCTTTTTTTTTTCGAACCATCTTATTCGTTTGCAAAGTTTTGCATGCAGATATAAATTCTTAACTAACATATGGTGGAGAGAATTCCTTTATCGTGATTTGAAACCGCTACCCTCATTGTACCGACTCATAATTGTAAGTTCGAGACCAAACACTGATGCCCGATCGTCCTTCGTGCTACCGTTTAGCTGGAGAAGGAAAAGCTTGGATTACAGTCTGTCTTTAGTAACTTATGGAGAATTTTCGCACAAATCATAAGAAAAGTTTAGAATTATACGAAAGTAAAGCAAACTAACAAGTTTAGACTAGTTTGACACAAGGCATTAATATTAGAGCACTCATTGGATATCGAACTCACGAACTGGTCTGCGACGCGCGCTTACTAATCACAACAGTATAGTAAGCAGTCAAGAATAATTATTTAGGTAATTTTATTTTTTGACTAAGCCTACTTTATCCGAAAAGTGTAGAATATTTAGTCAAGATCAAGTGACTTATGAGTAATGGCATCCAAAACGTGAAATGTAAAGTGTTCTACAGCAGGGTCGTATCATATATATATATATATATATATATATATATATATATATATATATATATATAAAAAAAAAAAATTATAACATAAATATGTTATAAAATCACTACAAAAATAGGCATTTTTGTTTCAACACCCCCGGTGTTTTATCAAGTGGTATATATATATATATATATATATATATATATATATATATATATATACAGTGAATAATATATATATATATATATATATATATATATATATATTTTGAATGAATACAGAATCTTTAAAAGTCCATCAGTTCAGGTTATAATTTATTTCGTGGACCTCACGTGCATTTCTTCAGAACAGTTTTACATTAATAAATGGAGTTCAATTTATTCAGATACAAGGAAAAGGAAAAGAAGAAAAAAGAAGAAAAAAAAGAGAGAGAAAAAGTTTTAATATTAAAAGGGAGAAAGAAAAAAACGTGGACAAAGAGATTTCAATATAAGGATTTTTAGGGGGAAGATAAAGAAAGATAGACATGGGGGAGGGAGAAAGAGAGTAAGAGAGAGGAAAAAAAAGGAAAAGGGGAGATAAATAAATCAACAGGGTGACCCAGAAAATATGTTTTTCTTTCGCGGCTTGACAAGTTAAAAGAGAAGTGGGTTAAGGGAGTGACCATATTCAAAATAGATTGAAATTGTAAGGATTGTAAATTTCTAAGGATTCAGTATTCATTATTATATTGTTTTGTTCTTACATTAATCTCTCTTTGAATTTATATCCTCCACGAAATTCTCCCTACTAAACATCAATTGATTGAGGTACCTCCATTAATTTGCTAAAAATCAGTATAGCGTAATGATAAAAGGCCCCAAACTTAATAAAAACAAAGTTTTATCGTTAAAATGTTTATGTTATTATTAAGAAGAAAGAACAAAGTATTTTTTAATGATTTAAAATTTTTTCCTTCTTTCTAACACGTTCTAAATTTGGGTAAAAATGTCGTTTTTTTTTTGTATTTTAGTCTAGCAGAATCTGGGGGAAAACCCATTAATTTGGAAATTCTTGCAAAAATCAAATAATTGCCGAATTTTAATGAAACTTTCAGGACTTATTCAAAAATGAATCAATTTATTTTTGAATTTTTTATTTTTAGAAAATCTTGGGAAAATTTTTTTTTCTATATCTGTTCCATTTTATTAAATTTTCTAGAATTTCAAACAGTTTGCAAATTGTTTTATATTACTTATAAGCAGAACTCCTTGGAGAAATTAAATCATAAATTTTTTTTTCACAATTATTGCCAACTTTTTAAAAATCTGCTCCAAATCGTAAAATAAAAACTCCAATAAAGTTATCTAATTGTCACATTAGATAGGCTTTTATTTGCTTTTATAAATAATATACATTAAGGACATTATTATCTGAAAAAAAATTCGATGAATAAAGTATTTTTACAAGAATTGTTTGCATTTTTCTTTTCTTTTTTTTTTTTAGTTTTCTTTAATTTAAAAAAAATGTTTTAAAATTCTTCCAAACAGAGTATAGGGTAGGTTATTAAGTGTTTTAAGTGAAGATTATATTTACTAAGCGACAATTAAAAGCTTAATACAAATCATGCTACCAAAACTTTTTGTGCGTCAAAATGTTATATTTTTTTAGTATGTTGTCTCATAAGTGATATCATGGTTAAAAGGTCACTTGTTTCAAGGTTAGTCTTTAAGAAAAAGCCCTTTGGCATATAAAGGTCTTCGGCATATGTCACTCTCAGTTATTAAATTAAAAATTAAATTGAGATAATAAAATTATCTCATTTATCAATTTAAACAATTAATAACTGAGTGAGATATTTTAATTATTAATATAATAATTTTATTAGTTATTCTCTCAGTTGTTAAATTAAAAATGGAATAACTTAATGTAATATTCATAATTAATAGAATTATTTATCATTATCTTAGCTATTAAATAATGAAATACCATTATAGAGATAACTCAATAATGTAAGAAATTTTTATAGTATTTTAAATTATTATAAGAAACAAAAAAAACCGTTATGTCAATTTTGGTGCACCGTACTAAACCTGTCGACACATTCAGCCATC